CCCGGAGGAGCTGGAGGAAGTGTCTGGAGAGAGGGAAGTCTGGGCATCTTTGCTTAGACTGCTGCCCCCGCGACCCGGTTCCGGATAAGCGGTAGAAAATGGATGGATGGATTTTTTTTGTTTCTCTTTTTATTCACTTTCTGAGTCCTCCTCTGTCTGTCCCTTTTGTCTTGGTGTGACTCTCACACCAAGACAAAAGGGACAGACAGAGGAGACATACAGACATACAACCCACTCAGCCTTTTTGTTTGTGGTAAAACAGTGACCTTAATTTGAACCAGTTGCCTTAAGTCTTCTTTTTATTTATTTTATCAATATTTTATTCTGAATCAAATCACAACTTGCCTAAAGATTCCCACCCCCGTCTTTTACTGACATTGCCATTCATTGCTACACACATAAAAATGCTGAACACCATCAGCCTGAATTAAACGATCAGTTTTGCTCTACACACATAAAAGACCCCTATGTCCTTACTGACAGTATAGATTTAGTTTTCTCTCAAGAAGCACCATAACCAAGAAACAAAACTTGCTCCTAAACAGCAGCAAGTGAGCCACACATACTCAGCCTCAAGCCACATGTTGACAGGGGTTCCTGCTCTTACTTTTGCAGCCTTGCACCTTCCTGATGCTTGGAGGTGTTGAAGATGTAATAGCATTGCTAAACCTAATGACATAACCTTATATTCCTGCATGACTATGGAAAATTATATTATTATGTAGTGTGTTAACAAAGTAATGCACTACCCAAAACACTGTTACTGTAACCTTATTTTGATGTAAACTCGCTGTATTCTGTTGTCACCAAAGCAGTCTTTACTCACATTAGAATTAAATCAAACTTGTTGAAGAAACAGTCAACATTTACCAGTGACAGTGTTGATAATCACCTTTATTACTGAGACTTCTGATGTGTAGAAAAGCCTCCAAATAAAATGCCAGCCAAATGCACATGCACACATTCTAAGAGCACATTACTGTCAAATAAAGGCTTCTGTGTAGAAAGTACATAGGTGCGTCCTCTCTCATCCCTCTGGTATCTTTAAGTCATCACACACTGTTTTACAAGCAGCTGCTTCTTGCTGCTGTTTTGAACCATGTGTATGAGAAGTGACTTTGTGTAGTGCTACAGCAAACAGTTCCTTGTGTCTGAACAAAGATGAAGCTATCCAGTGAAAGGAATACTTTAAATATAAGCCATCGCACACACACACACACACACACACACACACACACACACAGACAGACAAACTAACAAAATGATATAAATGTATCCCCTTAATGAAGGTGTCCCTTTAAGAATAAAGTGAAGCTTAAACAGAGGATCACAGTGTCTCTAATCCTCTGTTTCATTTATTACTAATTTGGGAGAGGATTTGCAGAGGAGTGATAGAGGATTGTTAAGAAGGAAGGACGATTAAATGCAGAATGGAGCAGATCGAGTGGGAAGGAGCTTAAAGAGGATGAAAAGAAAATAAGCAGAAAGAAGAGAGGATGAAGATGATATTTAAGATTAAACAGTTTTTAAAAAGTTAAACTTTTAAGTCCATTGCTTAGAATTAAAGATGATAATAAGTGATTATAAGTAAGATGCACAGAATATACAATGTTTGGTGCAGAGGGTTACTGAGAGTTGTAGAAAAATCATTTGTGGGATTTTCAGATTAATATTCATGAAAGGTCAGAAAGCAGTTTGCACTTAGTTTGATCAACATATCTTTATCTAATACTGTAACATACAGCCTTAAATAGCATTTTACATATGATCACTACAGCTACTACAATATTGTACTTCAGGTGCTATTAGCATTTAGCTGAAAGCACCACTAAAGTATAGCCTCACAGAGCTGCTAACATGGCTGAGGATGTTTAGTCTCATCACTAATGTTGACAGCATTTGGTGAATAAGTTTAGCAATGATAAAAGTGCTTGGCAAAATTGCACATAGTGATTCCGTTTACACCCGTTCAAGAGAGAAACTTGAACGGCGCCATCCTCATCTGTGCTTCAGAACCAGATTTCTCTTTTTACTGCCTTCTGTGGGAGCTCAGCTCTTCAGTCTCTGTTTCATCACAATAATATCACTGTTCTGACGAAACCTTATTCTCAATACATGTATGAAGAGCTCTCACTAGTGTCACATTAGATTTTATTGAGGGATATTATGCTCACGGCTACTTTATGCATAATTCAAGTTTTGTCAGAGTTCTTTGTCATTATCATGTAGCTTGTTGAATCAGTTTCCTGTTACTGTTTTGCAGTGAAATGGCAGCAGAGGCAGCACTGGGAGGATTATACTGTCATCCTGGGCTTTTCAATATCTAAAGCTTGGATTTTAATATTTACAAAATGTTTTTCATTTTCTGCAAAGGGGACATTTTGGTATAACTACATAGCATGTATTTATAGCTTATATATTTCTAATAGAGGGCGGCCCAGTGGTGCAGTGACGGCTCAGAGGAGGAAGGTTGTGGAGTTGACACGTTCTCCTTGTGCCTGTGTGGCTTTTCTTTGTATAATCTGGCTTCCTCCCACAGTCCAAAGATATATGTTGTCAAAGGTGTGAGTATGGATGGTTGTCTGTTTCTGGGTGTCAGCCCTGTGGTAGACTGGTGACCTGTCCAGGGTGTACCCCGCCTCTCGCCCATTGTCAGCTGGGATCGGCTTCCCACCACTTTACAGGACAAGTGGCTTAGATAATGGAATGATGGATATTTCTAATTCATTCAATTCCGCATAAAATCAATTATGTTGTAACAATCTTTACAGAATTTCAGTCTCATTAGTTGTGTAGTTTCCAAAATCACTGATTTCTGGCCTTATTCGCTCTGAATGTTATCTTCATTCATATTCTGTTTTATTGATTATGATGTAGATGAGCATTACCACTTTTACCGGATGGTCAAAAGTGATGGTACACTGTGGTGTGGATGACCTGCTGGATCTGAAACTGGACCTTGCGCTCTCATGTAGTCCTCCTGGACTGACTGCGCTGTGTGTTTAAACTCTGTCCTTCAGTTGTCAGAATCAAAGATTTAACCCGCTGTGTGTATATGTCAGTTTATCTCTCTGTTCCTCTCTCTCAAACACACAGATATTGTACACACTCACGGTGCAGCTTTTAAGTTCTGCGCATGCTGCTGTAGACAGAATGTAGACAGGGAAAGCATTCAAGTCTCTTAATTCACAGTGCCACTGAATAGAAGCCCAGCTGTGAAACAACTGGGCTGTTTTCAAATTACACATGTGATAATATAAGTAAAACAATGTGAGTGAGATGCAGTGCTTCTCAGACAAACACCATTAGTCATTCACCCAAAACAGATGAATCCCAACAAGCAGACACACACTGTTGGCTATTTTTCAATAGCTGGGGATGGAGAGGCTCTCCTAGTGTGGTAAGTACACTCCAACACAGAGATATACTGTCTTATGAATATAAGTCGCCATTTTCCTTTAGATGTGTTTGTATATTTTAACTTGTGCATGTTCTTCCTCCATGAAATTCGAAATTTCCAGTTACTAAGTAATACTTTTGCCCAATATGATTGTATGATTTTTTTTTTTTGTGTTCTCTACATTTTGGGTTTTGTTCCACATCTGCGTCTCTTACTGTATACATATTGAACTCCCTTGTATTATGTACAGCTTGTCATTTTTGTCTGCAGATGATGTTGTAGCTGTGGTAACTAATGCTGCTGAATCACTATTGAGCAAAGTCTGATATATTGTAGATATTGGCCGTGGGCATGCGTATGTGAGGCGTATGTCAGAAAGCTAAACATTTCTTTTAACCTACAGTAAAGACACCTCTGTTAACATTTAGAAGCACTAATGGTTACTGTATTGTGTGTGTGTGTGTGTGTAGTAGCGGGTGAACAGTCATTTTCCCCGTGAACCAATTTTGGCCGACAGCTGGAGATATTACTGATGTCTTGCTCTCACAGTTTGGGTAATTGAGACAAATTCAGTCCACTGTCGTGCTTTAACTCTTGTTGGCTTTTTCTATCAGTACCAAGACAAACCGGGCTTCGACTGTACAGCCAAGTTGAATCATATCATATCCATTTTTTATATCTTCACACAGTCATTGTTGTCTCGTATCCCTCTGATCTTTGTAAGAAAATAACTATTTTGACAGTGAGATCACTTGTCTCAAATTCTATAACAGGTATACAGTATATTTTCTTTTTTCTTTTTATTTTAATAATATAGAAAAGCAATTAATTTACAATTTTCTCCTATCTAAGCAGAGCATTTTGTAAGTATGATTTCCACAGTCATAACAAAATCCTGATTATATGAAAGGCAATAAGAATAAGGTATGAATCATTTTTAGCCCTGGATCTTTGCTCATCCATAAAAAACAAAACAAAGCCTCTCTGTGAGTCCCCCCCCCTCAAGGCTTTTAGACCAGCTCTGTCTAAATATATCTATATAATGTCCTTTTCAGATCTGGAGCACAGAATTTGATCTGGATACCTAGTGACAAAAAAAAAGTTTGTTCCATTTTACTAAACATATTTTGTCATTATCATTTCACATCATGATCTGAAACACTTCACAAAAGCTTTCTGCACTACATGAAACCAAGCATAGTACCGTCCTTGTTCTCAGTCATGGATGACTTGACAACATTGTTCAGTTTCTGCAGATTTTGATGGCACATTGTTCAAAGATCCATGTTCCTAAAATGCTGTATTGCATTAATATGTGAAATGTGCAGTGCTAGAGGGCAGTGGAGTTGTTGTAATATAGCTGCTCCTGGTCAGCACCAACCTAATATGTGCACTGTGGTCTTCAAAAGATAATAACTCCCCACACCAGTAGCCCTTATCTACCAGCTTGCACTGTTTGTCATGGTGGAGTCATGGATTAATGTTATTTATGCCAGTTTCTCAACCCACTGTCAGCATGTTAGAACAGAAATCAGGATTCGTCAGTCAGCGTGGACCTTCAGTCTCTGATTATGATGATTACGTGTTTGTTGATGTCTCATTGTCTTATCTTAGCTGTCAGGCTTCTGTTGTTGTCCATCTGCTTTAACGCGCGAGGAGTTGTTTGTTCTGAGATGCTCGGCTTCACGACGCCACGCAGTGTTGTTGACGGTCCTAATTAAATGTCCCTCAGATGTTTGAACACACCGATAGTACTATAAACCTTACGGAGTGCACCATGCATTGTACAGATAGATGACAAAACAGAATGCAGATGCAAGAGTTGGGGTTAAGCATTCAGTTGTGATGGTTTAGGTTAGGATAAGGGGCTAGAGAAAGAATTACTGTATGTGAATGAGTGTCCTACAGCTATAGTAAAATATCTTCTAGTATCTCCTAGTGCCAATCTATACAACAGCTCTGTAACAAGATAGAAGACTGATGAGCACAATTAGGTTGGTCTAAGTGAGAAGATATAAACAGTTAGAGAGGAAAGGAGAGGAACAACTGGTAAGACGGACAAACAGACAGGCAGACAGGTGCATGAATAACCAGAGAGAGAAAACAATGAAGGACAGAAGAGACTAGAAGAAAGGAAAGAGAGAAACTGCAACAGCACTGCAGACAGGAGGATGGTAGAAAGAGGGACAATAACAGTTAAAGAAAGAGGAGGCTAGAGAGGAAGGAGCAGCAGGAGGAGAAGGGTTAGCGCCCTGAGGTCTTTCTTTTCAGCAGCACTAATTTAAGTGGCTCATTAAGAGAGATCTGAGATGCTTCCTCTTGATTGGCTGAGTAGGCAGATGATGCCTGCAGAGATGGGAAACACAGGAGGGGGCGTTTAAACTTTTAACATACACACAGGGAGTCACACAGATGTATATACAACACATGCACAAACACATGATAACAAACTGATATCCACAGGTATGAAAATGTCAGTGCATGGGCTGTTAAAACTAGTCCATATATGCATTAGGACACGATTTAAGACAAGTCAGAAACACACAAGCACAAATTCTTACTGACACAAATACATAAAGTACACATACACTTTATTTTTAACTCTCATTCACACACACATACACACACACAGAGAGTCCCACTTTCAGAGCACAAACATGCACAAAGAGCGCACAGCAGTTGGGAGACTGCTGTGTAAATCTACCCATGCTCACTGCTTCTCATGGATGCATCCATTGAAAAGGGTGTAATCCTGTCATATGTATTGATTAAAACTGAATTGTGTTTGCACAAAAATCATATGAAATCTCTAATTGAGCTGATTAAAATGCTGCCAGTCCTCAATTATAATAAAATGGTAATGTTGTAACATCACAATAAGTATCTGTCATCTAAACATGAAGCCGCTGAGCTGATTCTGTTTTGAAACTGATTGAAATGATTACACCATGCAGTAAGACTGTCACATAATGATGTCATAAGAACGGGGCCGGTGTACCGAGGAGAATCTCAGCTCTGACACCAAATCCAGACATGAAAGCAGATCACGAGCCCTGATTAAATAACCGACACCCTGCAGATATGCCGATCAATCGCGTTACCGGCATTATTGATAGCTGGGGAAGTCGACTTCACTTTTCAGTTTCAATTTTCTCAAACAATCAAGTTTCACAAAGATATTTACTACCGCTACAGGGAAACACAATGGTTCTATTTTTGTATTGTATGATGGTTTCACCCTGACAAATCCAGGTGTAGGTGCAGATAAATCATTTATATAGTTATATGAAAATATATCGCAAGGTATCAATACTGTAAATAGTCATTAACTAGAGACATTTCAGCAGGGTTTCATGACCTTTCAGCTTGTTGGCCAGATGTTTTTCTTAAAGCAATATTGCAATATTTTGGGAACTACCTCTGGGAAGACCAGTTGCCAGACAACCAGGGAAAACACCAGGATGTTACTGGCCTCATGACATAGTCGGTGCATGAATGAATGTCACTTTCGGCTTTTTCCCGTTTAGGGGTCGCCACAGCGAATCGTCTGACAACTGTTTTACGCCCAGTGCCCTTCCTAACGCAACCCTGATTCGAACCTGCGCCACAGCAGTGAAAGTGCTGCGCCTTAACCACTAGCCTACCAGGGAAGGCATAAAGTCATATAATGACTTGCCTGCAGGGAAGGCATAAAGTCATATAATGATCACCTCAGTTTGTGTTTTTTTTTTTAACTTTAGAGGTCCTGGTAGCTGGATTCTGTTATATTTGGACAAAGTAGATTTATTCCTCTGTTTCCAGCTGCTTTGCTGCTGTTGTAGCTTCATATTTAGTTTACAGCCATGGCATCCTGAAGGCCACTGGCCATTTAGCTGTTTAACATTCCTGGTTCACTTCCAGCAGGGACCTTTGCTGCATCAGAGACCCATCTGTCCTCATCAGTTTTATATCTGTAGCTGTACTTCACTATCAAGTCAACACACTGATGCCAAAAAATCAGCTCAGAATAAACAAATGTACCCAGATTGCATTTACACCTTGAATTAATGAGGCACTCAGTATAATTGCCATGAGGAGTAATAGTCAGTTGTATAATGTGTCCCGTGGCTTTGGAGGAACTTTCTAAAGTCTGGAAAAACAACCTTAATAATGGCATTTGGCTCATGTCGGCTTAGGTTGGGAAACCACATGTGTATAACAGAAAGACTGTGTTACAAACTGGAGGTGTGGAGCTTTAGAGATATGCAAGAATTCAGGATAGAACACTCATTTCTTCTTATCCCCATACAATCAAATAGTATAAATGAAACCTTAGTATTGATTATATCATTTGCCAAATAGATGCAGCAGCAGCAGATAAACAGGAGACAGCCACTAACAAGCTTATGCTATGACAGGTGTACAGTTTGGACCATTATTAACTCATAAAGATTCTGTCATTAGCAGCCTCTCCACCTGTGTGTGTGAGCTGCACCCAGTGAAGAGCGTGTGAAATATTAACACTGTTGGTTTCATGGCTCACAGTTCATGTTCCAGCTCTCTGCTAGTTTCTACAACTGCCATGGCCTTACCAAGGAAAGAGAGGGAGAGGATGTACATAGAGAAACCAGGATAACAGTGGGAGAGGAGGGGGTCAGAGATGTATAGTAGAGGGAGAAGCTACAAAAACAGGGGGAGAGACAAGGGGCCAGGCAGTACAGGGAGAGAGGAAATAGTTGAAAGGCAGAGAGGAGATGATGTTGAAGGTGGTGACTAAGTGTGAGGGGAATGTGAATGTAAGAGAGAAAGAAACAGGCAGCGGGAGAACCAGAGAGACACAGATTGTACATAGAAAGGAATATGAAGCAGCTGCATTGCCGACTGGTGACTCACCTGGTGCTGGCCCTATGTGTGTCTGTGTGTGTGTTGTGTTTAATGAGCATCGCTGCAGAAGCCTTGGGTTGTCTGCTAAGCACCGCTGAACCATTTTATACAACCCTATGTCTCTGTCAAGTTAATCTGATACTTTGACACAACTGCTGTAAAAACAAAGGCCATTCAACAGTTAGTGTTTCTCTCACTCCAGTGGTACAGGAAGTCCTGATGTAACGGGGGTCGCTGCTTCAATGTGCAGATGTTTTACTGAGGAAACATTTCACTTGTTCCGGTTTGGTGTCATAATGCAATTTGCTAAATTTATAATGAGCGCTTTTGTGTTGCTACACGAATACATGCACACACGCTGACACACAACATATTCTAGGTTTTTAATGAAAATTCAGTCATTTCTGAGCTTCTGTAGATGATTCAAAATCTGATAAACAGTAGAAAAGTGTTTATTTGCATAATGAACGGAACTTTGATTTCAGACTGCAGCTTAAGTAACTCACATTTAAAGAGATTAAGTTCGTTTGGGATGAATATTCATGAGTCTGCTTATGCAATTTTGGTTTCTGTAACAGTGAACTGTTTTATGGTATGACTTTCAGGTAATGGTAATGTTTCTGGGCTCTTAGTTTACAATAATTTTAACATTCTGCTCAACTTGTACACAGCATGAGAGCAATATGCAAATACACCCTCTGCTTATCAATTAGCTCTCTACGGTACATCCTTCAATAGTATTTCCCATTTAGCATCCTTCATATAGTACAGGAACTATTAACCTTTAGTAAAATGGTCAGAATATGGTCTGTATACAAACAACTTTGAAAGAATAATTATGCCACTATTTTCAAGAGATAGAGAATTTCCTGACCTTCATTCTTAAGTACAGCTCAAGTTTCAAAAATCCTGGCTCCTTTACTTCCCAAAGTTCAGCTTTTAGTTGAACTGTGTACCCTTCCTGCCTGGGGAATGTGTCAAAAATGTTACTCTTCTTTATGGCCCCTCATTTGCTCTGCTCTCATCACCTAAACAGATACAAATGCACATCATAGTGTGTCTGTTATTTTTAATGGGACAGATGCATTTACACCTTTTTAACATCTGGCTTAAATGCATCCCTGATCTGGATTTCAGTTAATCTCTAATGTATTTTGGTTGCATTTATCCACAGGCCCCACCATGTGTCCTGCTCATGGCTGGGACAAGATGGTCTCCATCAAGCTTCATCCTCCACTTTTTTTTTTAAATACCTGGCTGTAAAGTCCCCTGTACCTCTGTCATTTTCTCTTTTTCTTTTCTGAGCACCTGACTTTAGAGACTGACTGTTTGTAAAGTTTACTGAATTCATGAGAGACAAAACCAATTTTTGCATTACAGGGAGGAAAGTAAAATTGTTTGGCCCACTACACTATATCAAGAAAAATGAGGAAGATCGGAGTCACCCCAAGATGCACAAAGTGGCTACATGTAGCGTGTGGGCTGCCTGTGTATCCAAAGTGATCTTGAAAGGTCAGGTTTCCTCCACCTTAAAGCCTATAATTCTTTGGGAAAGCTGCTACAATATGGTTTGGGTAAATCAAACAGTGTGTAACAGGTGCTTTCTGATTTCAGACACTAAAAGCTTTGAAGATGAAGCTCTAAATGTCAGAGCCAGTTTTAGAACTAGAAAGATTACCAGCTTACAGTATTTACATAAAGTTCTTGTTGCTGAGTACACGTTGGTGTCTTCTTCTCTTCTACCGTCATGTCACTATTGTTGCAGTGGAGGGAGGCTGGAGCCCTACAGCATGTCTTACGTTATTATCACAGCCTGCACTGTATCCTGCTATTCTACTACAGCTTTTTATTACAGTTCCTCCAGAGACTAATGGCATAGCAAAGGAGCCGGGGAGCAGGTATGGGAGCAGGAAGCCTCCCTTCTGTCTATATTTAGAACCAAATGCATTTCATTAAAATATTTATTCTGTGTACCGCTTTGCTTTGACCCCCTGCCAGCAAAGACTGAACAAATCTAGGCCAAAAGCCTCAAATAAATGGTGCCGACCTTACCTGATCGGATCATTATCATTGTGGGAGAGCAGCAGCCAACTGGATTAACCCCAGGTTTATAGATCTGTGCTACAGTTTTGATTTGTTTTTTTAGTTTTATTAAATGGCTGGCAGTTAGGGCTTTTATTGTTTTTAAAAGCCCAGTCTGTGTGTATGTGCATGTGAGTGATTCTACTCCTCAGGCAGGGGTCCAGAGCACATCTCGGGCTGCTATGGCAACTAGGCTGGCACCCCCACTGCTGCCTCATGGCAAGTGCACAAACACAGATAGACACATGAGCACACACCCGCACACTGGAACTATAACTACAGGGCTCTTTCATGCACTGCAGGAAAATTCAGCTTTCCGCTTAATTACACAAGGCTCGGTGCAAAGGGAGGAGGGAAGACTGAGAGAGGGGTCAGCATGACATAATGACAACATGGCAACCGGGGGAATTTAAAAGCAATTTGTGTCTTGCCCAAGGACACTTTGACATGTGGACACCGACCCTCCGATTGGGAGACAACTGCTCTACCCACTGAACCAGTCATAATAATAATATAAAATATAAATAACACAGCTTTCATCGCTTTAGAAGCCACTATGTTACTGACCGGCTGACTTTCTTTACCCGTTCAGTGCCGTTCGTCCCCAGAACACAGTGTGTTGTTATTATCACTGGCAGCTGTGCTAAATGCATTCCCCCTCCTGGCAGCCGTTCCCCTTGCTAATCTGCAAACCATTCAATTTACCCTCCAGATGTGTTGTACTAATTAGTCTGTTTATCAACAGATTATGTCGGTAAACTGCCCACATCACTGCTGCTGCTGCTGGCAAAAACATAAGGGTGTAATACACAGCACACACACACACACACACACACACAGACAGAGTTTCTGTTTGTCATCATCTACAAACACATGTGCAAAGGAAGGAAAAACACATAAAATGAAGCCCTGTTATTACCGGGAGATGAGAAAGAAATGAACGCATGCATGAAAAAATCAATCCTCTCTGTCTCATTACCTGTGCCTCAGGTCTTCAAAGTCATTCTCATCTGTTGATGTGGAAATAAATATGTGATCAAGCTGGACTAACTGCTGACGTTGTTGTCTGTGCCTGCCAGGATGTGTTTGTGTGTCCTTGTCTGCAAGTGATGTCTTATATTATCTAAATGAATAGGTACCCCTTTGTTGTAGGCTATTAGTTGATCATTTATTTAAAAATGCATAATATATAAATAGTGTTTTTTTTAACCAGTGGCTTATTTTACCAAATTTTAAAATGCATACTCAATTCACAAAGCACTTTTATGTTGATACAACAGTGTCCCATTTTATCTATGACCTTCTCATTAGCTTCAGCTTTAGTCCTGAAAAAACAGAGATGAAGGCAGCTATGATGAAATGTGTGCTTTCCATCAGCCATGTGTATTTTAAAGAATAAAACCTAATGACTAATAATATAAACTAGAATGACAGCTTTACCACCACTGTATACCTCTGCCAACCACTCAAATTCACATGAATGGAGACAGTGACAGATCACAGTGACCTTGACCTTTTACCTTTGACCACCAAAATCTAATCACTTCATCTTTGGCAGAGGCATACAAGCATGAAGTGGTAATTCTAGTTGGTATTGTTTTTAGCATGCTGTCACCATCCTTTAACAGGCAGAATTTATAGTCTATCATTTAAAACTGAAGAAGAAGCATTAAAGATGTATCAGTAACCTCATG